CGATAGAAAAGGTTTCTGGCTTTTGAATAAGGTCAAAGGAAATGACTATAAATCAAAGGACTATAAATTGGAAAGGTCAAAGTTAAAAAATTACTTCTTCTATAAAGGGGAAAATTTGACTTTGCCGGATTTAGAGACTGACTGATTACGGAATGACGGACTGACTGACTGATTGACTTTGTCGAAAGTTTCCCCTTTATAGAAGAAGAATTAATTTTTTTTAAAGTTAATGAAACTTCAACTTCAACTTTGTTTAAGTGTATTCTATGAAGGGTCAAGAATTTCACCGTTCTTTTACTTGAGGTTCTTTTACCTGATTTAGGGACTTTTGAATGGAAAGAAAAGCTTCAAATGATTATAACTTTTGCAGAGATAACATTTTCATTTTACTTTTTATGTAGTTTGATAGAAAAGGTTTCTGACTTTTGAATAAGGTCAAAGGAAAGGACTATAAATTAGAGTTCGGCAAACAAAACCAAAACCAAAACCGACCAAAAGCAAAACCAAAACCAAAACACCAAAACTCAATTTGCATACAAATTAAGATGTAAATTTAAAATTGTAAAATGCAAATTTGCCTTTCACTTTTTCTCACTCCCCAAAATCTCGCGGCCGAAAAAAGGACCAAAACACGACCTCGAAATTTCGAAACAAAAAATAGCCTATGGAATAGATTTTTGGACGCTGATTTCAAATCTGCAAACAGATTTTCGCTAGCTCCTCCCAATCGCGAGATATTGGCGAGTTTTGGTTTTGGTCTGGTTTTGGTTTTGGTTTTGGTTTGTTTTGGTTTTGTTATGGTTTTGGTTTTGGTAGTTTTGGTTTTGGTAGTTTTGGTTTTGGTTAAGTTTTGTTTTCCGAAGTCTACTAAAAACATAAGGGGGAAACCGTGGCCGAGTGGTCTAAGGCGCGCGACGTGAATCCCGCGCAAAAGTATGGGGTTGTTGGTTCGACTCTCCCGCACACTTGAGCTATTATTTTGCATATTCCTTAATTGTTTTGAGTGAATACGATACATAGCTACATTGTTCTTTTGAACAAAAAAAAATTTTGTGCAATAGAGAATTTTTCAATTTTCTTAGTTCTTTTTGTAAAAATGTTATAACTTTTTGTAGCGTTGAGGAAATTTGATGATTTTTGTATCAAAATGTTCGTGAGAGTCTCTAGAATAAAAATTATCCCCTCGTTTTTTGTTCTAAATTGTCGAGTTACGAGCCCCAAACTGCGGGGCAAAATTTCCCATACAAAATGACCAAAAAATCGCTAAAACTCAATTTAAAAAATTTCTGTCAAAGGGATTTGAAAAATTCCTTCAGATTCGGAATCAGCACAATTTTTTGCATCTAAAAAAGGTACTCCCAAAAAAATCCGATAGAAAACGCATTTTCGGGTGTTCTTTCTGCCCCCACGTAATCGCTCGCGATCTGGCGCACGTCTTTTGCTTAACCCCCTCCCTCGAACCGCTCATAAACTTACCTGGCTGGGGGGTTTCTCGTGATCATCAAGACGGGACCCCCATGGTGAGACATGGTCATTGCACTTTTGACTGTGTTGACCTGTGTGGCAGCTCCGAGTTGGGGTTCGCTAACAGCTAAATTTTTGCGTGAGGGGCTGCGTTCGCGCGGCCCTGCCAATGATCAATTGAACGCTATCCTGAAGTATTATTTTTGTTCCAATGCAAGTTGAAAAGTTCATGGATCCAGTTGTTTATAATCAAAATTTTCAGCTTAAAAAGGGCTATGGTGTTGGCGGTGAAGGAAAAGAGGCAATCACGAAAAGCTTTTCACTAACAACAACCACTAACAGGCCAATTCTGATCACCGCCGATCACATTGATGATGAAGAAAATGAGAATATGACAACGACAACTGTTATCCCAATGCCTAAAAATCTTTTTTTTTTCAATCAAGTCAAATCCAAGCCCTATTTTCGAACCCAAAGTACACCACCCTAGTTTTCCTCGACTTGTTCCTCTTTTTCTCAATTACCCATTTCCTCGTCCCTTTACGCTAAACCTCCGGTTGAATTTTCGGTGACGTCTACTCAGAAAAGAGTCGTTTCTCATTCGTAATTCCTTCTTCTACATATTTAAAATCATTGGTCGCTTTGAAAGAGGGATGTTCATGTGTATTCGAGCAGACAAATATCGGCAAAACGGCCATTCTCGTGAATATAATGTCCGTCTCATAGAGACACAGTCATCCCAAGAAAAATTCTCTCAAATAAAGTTTCCATGAACACGAGATTATTTTGTTTTTATTGCTCCCGGAAGAAAGATACGGATTAAAATAAGGCTTCGGGGTGGGGGTGAAATGAACGTTAAAGATTTGTAGTCATGAAGTCAGTGACTTCTCACCACTAGAGTCTCTTTCTCTTCTTTCTCAGCTCTTTCTCTTCTTTCTCAGCTCTTTCTCTTTCTCAGCTAGTTCACTTTCATTCATTTCATTCAAAAACATCTATTTTAGAAAACTATTGTTATGAAATTGTCAGTTTCTATTCAATTAAAACAATTTTTATATCATTGACTGAAATCGTGTGATTCCTTGTCAAATGATACCAAAATTAGGCTGATTGAATAAAAATTGGCTCGCTGATTACGCTAGTTTTCGAAAATTCGTGACTTTTAGAAAGGATATTAGCCGAATTCTGCATTTGGACAGACAGCATTTGTCCCTAAAAATTGGTCGAGAAGGCCGGCGCACAAAGCATCGATGAATCACAGGCAGCAACGATTACAGTTTGCGTTAGAACATCAACACTGGTCAATTGAGAGCTGCAAGCATGTACTCTAGTGTAGCATGCTGTAGCATGTACTTTAGTGACAAATGCAAATTTGATTTTTTCAATGCGAATGGGGCTATTATGTAATGAAATGATCGATTGGAGCTTGATATCGACTCGAATACATCAGACCAACGGTCAAGTTTAATGGTGATGGTGTAATGTGTGCTGGAGAGGCTTTGCCGCTCATTCGGTCATCTCGTTCGATCGGTGGAATCATGGATGTGAACCAAAATACAGGGTGACCAAGAATTAACGTCGTATTATGTTATGTGGCCCATTTCACTTTTTGCTCACCTGTTTTTATGGTTTTTGTGTATTTTTCTTATTTTATGATATGATTACTAACTTTCAATACATTCGAATGGTTGTTTTCATTAGTATGGTATGGCTTTTACATTAGTATGGTTGTTTGAATGGTGAAAGCGTCTCCACATTGACAACCGATCCTTGAGCTCAAGCGGCAGCGTGTTCAGGCTCAGCGAGATCTATTTAAGTTAACTTTTCGAGATGGGTTGAATATTTGGTTAAAAGCGAGGCCTTTTCCTGGGTTTCTTTTGAAGAAAGTGCTCAAACTGGGACATCTCCTCCATTTTTGAGTCTCACACTTGTCTCACACACAAACCAAAATCCTACTACGAAAGAGGAATCCGCAAATTGCCTGTAAAATGGGCAGAAGTCGTCAATAATAATGGAAATTATTTGGAATGAATTCATGGTTTTATGTTGAATAAATTTTAGTTCAAAGTCCGGCAGTTTTCAATTCACCAACCCAATAGCAATAGGTAAAGGATTTCCGGTACTATCTGGTTAAACATTCCCATCCGTTTTTGGTGTATCTTATTTGAGAAAAAGTGTGGATAGTTTATGGATCAGATATGTTTAGTTTATAATTTCAGAACCTAGTAGATTGCATCCACATAAAGTAGATAAAACAATATTATTGGTTTAAACTAGATACTTGTTAGGGTATGCGGAGGTATAACCGAATAGAACCGAATCTCGCTGATCCGTGCGAGGTCGCTGATTCGAATCCCTTGGCATTTACCATATTCTTTACTCAAAAACCCTAAAAGGATTAGGCAATAGTTTTTTTTTATTCTTTAAATATGAAATGAGCACAAATGAAAAACTCGACTCTGAAAAGAATTTCAGAGAAAAATGAAAGAAAAGAAAAAAACCCTACCGGTACTCACAAATACATGGATTCATTTTTGACAATATTTCTTCTGATTTGAAAAAATTTCAAGTAAAACTGATAATCACAAAAAGAAAATACCGTAAATACTGTAATAGTACCCCAGCCCGATAATGATGGCGCAGAGTGTTGCGTAGTCTAGATTTGAACGAGTTTTTCTCGACACTGGTTTATGCTAAAATGCGCGCTTAGGTATCAAAAAATAGCTGAAATTCAGGGCTATTCTTTGATACCAAAGCGCGCATCGTAGCATAAAGCAGCGCGGAGAACGGGATGTTTAAAGTTAGACTACGCAACAATCCCGAAAAAACTAGTTTTTCTCGACACTGGTTTATGCTACAATGGGCGCTTAGGTATCAAAAAATAGCCCTGAATTTCAGCTATTTTTTGATACCAAAGACGCATTTTTTGAAAGTACGGGCGTTTTGAAAAAAATGAAATACTAAAAAGTGGCTCATTCCTTTTGCAAATTCCTTTTTTTCCTTTTCCCCTTTTTCAAATTTTTTTTTTCTGTTTGGTTGGGGTTATTTTTTTTTTTCCCCCCCCAACGAGAGAGAAGTTTTTTTTTTTCTTTTATTATATAAAGAGTGTTTTTTTTTTTGTTTTTTTGTTTTTTCTTTTTTGTGTTTTGTTTGTTTTTTTTTTTTTGGTTGTTTTGTTTTTTTTTGTTTTTCCTTTTTTTTTTTTTTTTTTTTTTTTAATTATTTAGTTTTATTTTTTTTTTTAAACTTTTGCGACTACGCGACTGTACGAGGGGGGTGGGGTACTATTACAGTATTTACGGTAATTACTTTGGTCAAAAATAGGTGAAATATTTCGAGGAAACACAAGGCATCTAGTGCACAGATATTTTGAGAAATGAGAATGATTCTAAACTTGAAAGGCACACTCTGAGAGCTGGAGAAGGGACCGTAGTTTTCAAAAATTTTTCATCGATTACAGTAGGCAAATTTACAAAGCACTGAAAAATGAGGAATCTTTCGAAATGAGATTTGAATGAAAACTCGGAATTGAAAACCTAGACTCTGTACACTTTTCTGTATCGAAGTCGATCAAATCCGCCAACTTTTGCCCCAATCTCGCCATTTCTGATCATTTCAATCGTTTTCCAACTGCCTTTTCCCAATAAATCTCTCAAAGTTTGCTTGAAATTCGTCCGAGCCTTGCTGCGGAGACAATACTGAAAAAATGGCTTGATAAATTGAAATTTAAAGAGAATACAGTCGACTCTCGATTTAACGACGACATCGCAGTACTAACAACAACGTATCGTCTTTGACAACGATTTTGAAATTCTAAAACATGCTCTTGATTTCTGCGTAGCTGCCCAGCTAAACGCAATCGTTGGCCGTTTGGGGCAACTACAGAAGTAATTTCTTTTGGAATTGGTACTCCGTAGCTGCCGAGCTAAATGCAATTATTGACCATTCAGATTTCTGCGTAGCTGCCCAGCCAAAACGCAACCCTTTGTCGTTCAGGGCAGCTACGCAAGAAGTTTGAGGTAGGTTTTAGAATTGTTAAATCGAAATTTTTCATCCCGAGCAAATCGTTAAATCGAGAGTCGACTGTACTGTTCGTAAACCAATCCGAGAACCATTGTACTTTTATTGTTAAGTACCAATAAGCCAGCTCAACAATTTTTAAGAACCCTGTCTCTTTATTTGTAATTTAAGCCTAAGTTACTATTGTTTGTAAACACTTGGACTTGATCTGGCCTTACCTGATCCGGTTTTGGACTTAATAGGTTAGCCAGGATTAGGTACTGCTTACTTTTAGTTAGTTAGATTAGTTATAAGTTAGATCTTAAGGCTGATTGGGTCATTTCTTGCCAAGTCTAGTCCAGGCTGTTCAGAAAGTCTTTTCGTTCCTTTTCGTACTTCCGCTTAAAACCAACCAAATGCACCAATTGAACTACAAAAAATGATTCTCGAATTGGTTTACGAACAGTACAGTCGACTCTCGATTTAACGATTTGCTCGGGACGAAAAATTTCGACTGGTTTGTTTTATTAGAAAGGTTAATCCTTTTTCTGTAAAAATAACATTAAAACGGGTTTAGACATGTCTGCATTTTTTTTTTGAGGCGAGAAGTCGAGTAGTCAAAAAAAGGTCAAATAAACACTTTTTCTTTCGACAAAACGATAGGTTAATTGAGTGAATTAGCGTTTTTTATGCTTACTATGCATCCTGCTTACTATTCATCCTGCTTACTCTTGTTGTCTGTACCTGTTTTCTCTCGTTCACTTGCGCCGTTTTGCTCAAAATCGCTTGCTCGAGAGCGATGTCCAAAGAATCTTCTCGACATCTCAAAAAAAAAAAAAAAAATAGATCCATTGCTTTTCGATTTCGATTTTTTTTTCTCGGTTTCTGTCTATCAATAGGTTATGCCATATTTTAATCATCCATAGATGTGTGTAATTAGCTATATAGCTTACCGTAGCTTATTGTAGTCCTATACAGCTACAAAAAGAATGTCTAACCTGTCAAAATGTAATTCGTCAAGATTCGAGTAGGGGCTTGCTTTAGGTACAGTACCGGACAATGAAATATCATATTTGAAAAACGATCGTCACTTTCGCGCGTCTGTAACTCCCTTGTCTTTGAGTTTAAACTATTAACGGTATACATTTTCTGAAAGCTCTTTTCCAGGGCTACACAATGGTAATATTAATATTTAGAAATACGGTAAAGACAAGGGAGTTACAGACGCGCGAAAGTGGCGATTTTTTTTTTTCAAATATGATATTTCATTGTCCAGCAGTGTAGCTATATAGCCTACCGTAGCTTATTGTAGTCCTAGTACAACTAAAAAAAGAATGTCTAACCTGTCAAAATGTGGACAACATTCTCTCAAACGACTGCATTTCTCTTGGATCAAGTTGGCATCCTGAATTCCTTTTAAAAAAAATTAGATTTCATTTCAAATACCCCAAAACATTGAGCACTTTTTGGATAATCGACCGAAAGAATCCTCAACAAAGCGTCATCGTAAAGAGCCGATTTCTCGGGTGGATACGGAATACAAACGGCTTTGTCGAACTTGAAATTATATTGATTTTTTCGATTTTTTTCGAAATCTCTAAATCTTACAATATTTTTATTCTTATCCTCAAGACATTCGCGAATTTTCCCGTTTCTTTTGATCATCAACTCGTACAAAGATTCATAGAAAGGTCGATCGGATGGATCGCAAAGGTCGTCTCCTCTGGAAAAGTGATTGATTATCAGTGATTGATTATTGAATTAGGTAATTAAGAATCGAAATCTTATCCAATCCAATCCCATTCTTAATTAGAATTCAACGAAAGAATGCATTATGTTTGCTCGCCAAACTCTGCGAGTTTTATTCGCTATAAACATAATATCATTTTTCTCATAAGCTTTTCCGATATGATGTATTGTCCACCAATTTTGAGGTTGGACAATTTATTCCAAAAACCAGTGAACCTATAAATTACACTATTGAAAATTGTCCAGAATAAAAATTTGTCAAAAAAATTTTTCCTTTTAAACACGATTACCGTATTCTCTCTAATAGTAGTGCACTGTTTAATAGTATTGCGGTCCGGGGGTTGAAAAAATAGTAGTGCGCACTACTATTAGAGAGAATACGGTAACCACGAACTAGCCCTTGGCGGGTTACGGTAAACAGCTTATAAGAAAAATACCAATTTACCTATACAGGAGACTTTCCGAGCTTTCCGCCAATGACATCAAGATTTTCACCGAAGCGAAACGCCACGCGCATCCATCCAACGCCAAATGCATCTAGAGTTATCATTGTTTCTAATCTTAAACCTACAGTTTCAATAGCTCAGCGATAGAGCATCTACCCGGTAAGCAGAAGGTCGAGAGTTCAATTAGTAAAGAAATGAATGGCAAAAAACCCTTGGTTCCAAATTCTTTGCCATTCATTTCTTTACTAATTTCTTTATGACTAAGCCCACCGTTCTGAAGAACCGGGTATATCCTTCTCTTCCTTCCTTGTCTTTCTTATTTCTGTTAGGGCAAAGCAGGAGCGTTTGGCTCTGCTCAGTACGCTCGGCTCTGCTCAGTACGCTCGGCTCTGCTCAGTACGCTCGGCTCTGCTCAGTACGCTCGGCTCTGCATTGACTGGTCGAGGGTTCAATTCCCCTCTGTCCAGAATTTTTTTGCTATTCATTTCTTTACTTTATTATTGATCATAGACATTACATTCATGGATTACACTATCATAAGCAAGATTTTACAACCGAATTGCGGTTGTAAAGCTGCGGATACCCACCTGATTTCTGCATCTCATGTACAAATCGCATGACGACTCGTTTCGTCCGCCAAATTCCTGCAAAAAGTTTACGTATTAGCTGTATAATATTTGACATCGTAGAACACGTATAGAGGTTTTTCTAACTGCAATTCAAAGTCAAGCCAAGCCAACCCGATCCATTCGTTTGCCTCTAAGTTTTCTAGGGAAAAGTAGGCCAAATCAAGTCTAGACATCGGCTAGCTTTTTTTGACTTTTTGAAACAAACATTTAGCTCTACAGCTCCGCTCAACTCAATTTCCGAAATCAACTCTTGCACCAACATCTTCTCGATCTTTATGCAATCGCTCGACTTCGGCTCGATACCGTTGCATCCATTCCGTGTTCACTGGTGCCTCGTCGGTGTCAGTCTGCAAATTATTCTAATAAGTTTTATTTTTTTGTACAACTTACGACATTCGCTTTGTTGTCAATTTGAAGACTGCCATCACCGAAAACGATTTTCTCGACACCACCTGAATGAAAATCTCCTCAACCTGCCAACTTCACTCACCATCCACAACAATTTTGTCTCCATTTTCCGTTCTTCGGATTTCCGTCCACTGAGTGGGCTCTCCGGTTGTTGGTTGCTCTGAGTTATCTTTCTTTTTTATTTATTTTCAGCTCTATTACCAGTTCCTGATCCCTCGATAGCGCCGGAGCCTTCGACCGGAGTCTCGGTACTGCCAGAGCTGAAAACGTCATTAGATTAGTACCAAGTTCGTCAGCGTCATTAAGTAAAATTCTGCAATGAGCTCTCAAAAGGAATGCACCCTCTATGCCCGCCCGGGGATCGAGTCCCGAGACCGTTGGCTTTTCGGGCAAAAGCTCCACCACTGAGCTATGGGCGTACAGGAGAGGCTCTTAACAGCATTCTTAACAGCCCTCCTTCCAAGTGGCTCATAACAGCATTGCGATCCTTTTACGGTATTGTTTTAGCTCGTAGCAGTGTATCAATCGGTGGGTTTTATCCATAATTCCAATGACCACCAGGTGTGTATAAGCCTACTGAAAACCTTGTAAAAATGGCTTTCTGTAGACTTCTTTCTTCTTCTTCTTCCTTATCTTTCCTTCTTTCTCTTGGCAAGTTAAAGTACTAAATAGCTCAGTGGTTAGAGTAATTGCCTGAAGCGGAAAGAAAGGTCGAGGGTTCAATCCCTTCTCCGGTTCAAATCTACCTTTTCTTGCAAATTCCTTCACTTCTTTATTACAGAAATACCTGCTAAAGTTATAGAGATTAAAGTGATCGAGTAAAGCTTTGGATTGTAGAACAGGATTCTAGAACTAGGCATGCAAAAAGGCAAAACAAGCATGCTGAAGTGGCATTTATCTCTCGTGAACTCACCCGTCGATTCGATCACCTCCACTTCCCTCTTCATCTCCAATCGGTTCGCATTCCATTGCCGCAATCTGCGCATCTTCATCCGGATATTCGGATTCTTCGAAATCTAAACTCTCATTTAGTTTCTTCTGCTCGAAATTCATTCAAATACTAGCATTCGCGCTCTCCTTCAGCAATCCAATATTGACGGTGTCAAAATGGTCGATCAATTTGTCGAGTGCTTGATCGATCTAGAAAATTTTGAGTTTTACAAATAGATTGATCAAGGAATTTTTACAAGTTAATTTACAAGGATATTCTGAACAAATTTCAACGCTGCTTTCCCCCCACCGCTCGATTTTTGTTCCGCCGTTTCGCATCCAAAAGTGTCGCCCGCACCTCGTTTTGCCAATTGTCCAAAAGTCCTAAAATGATGGAATTTGAAAATTTGCATGAATCTTAAATGTTAAATTATTAAATGCAAATTTTGTGATGCCCTTTTGCGTACCTCGAATCTCTTGCATATCGTCGCTGTTTTGATTCTCGCCCAACAGATTTAAGATCTTCTCCATCTAAAAAGGTAAAAAATACGGTTATCTTTAAAATATTTAACTATTTAGCAATATATTATTAAAAATTGTAATCACTTTGAAAGATTTAGTGGCTCGTAGCCGTTTCAGCCCGCAATTCGTGCTCGGAATCGGCGCTCTTCTCGGTCCATCGCTGTTGTCGGGAATGAGGATCATCGGAGCTGAAGTCACTGGAAAAAAGTGACTTTAATTCTCAGTGATTCTCAGAAAGTTTTGCTAAAGTTTGTGGATGTTATTGATCGACAAATTGATTTGACAAATTTGACTCAAAGAAGTTCAAATCCTCGAGAAACCGACAACTTACCAACACCACGAAGCGGACTCTCTGCTTGTCCATTCTCTCCTTCAGTGAAACGAGCTTCTGACCGAACCGTGTCTCCAGCTAGTCTTGATTCATCTGAAATAAGATTCTTCTTGAGATTCTTGAGCTCTCAAGTTTCTTCAACATGCTGACGATGCTGAAGCCGCTCTTCGTTTCTTTGATGTAAGTAAACATTGGGAAAATTATATAGTTTCGTAAACTCTTTTAAAAAAGAAACATAGTTTGTAGTTTGTACACTAAGTTTGTAGTTCCTAAAATTGCAAGATTACAAGGTTTGCAAGAGTGTAAAAAGATCATTAGATGTTATTTCACTTCTAATGATTTATGAACATACATTTTTATTATTTTGCTTTTCAGAATGCTTTCCACCAAATGCCTTCTGATCAGTTTCGTTTTGCAAGAGCTCGACTTGAAAGATCACCCTGATATCGATGACTACTTCTACGATCCAGAGAACCCGTTCAATGATTTTGACGATTAAAGCTGCCGTGTTTATTTGTCGATATGATGGATTTCTATTTCTGGTCATTGAGATTTATGTCGCCAAATTCGGGTGATCTTGCTAGGTCGCTATATTCGCCAGGTCGCTATATTCGCCAGGTCGCTATATTCGCCAGGTCGCTATATTCGCCAGGTCGCTATATTCGCCAGGTCGCTATATTCGCCAGGTCGCTATATTCGCCAGGTCGCTATATTCGCCAGGTCGCTATATTCGCTAGGTCTTCTTTTCTTTTATCTTTTATATTTTCCTCGTAAACCCAGACGATTTGAATCTTATGATCTTTCAAAATAATCTTATAAAGTTGAAATTTCACTCACCAGATGGCACTTCAGCCGCCTTGAAAAGCGAAGAAAGTGTTTGATCGATCAACTAAAAGGAAATTTGCATAGAACTTCTGAACGGAGGGGAATTCGACCCTCGACAAGTAGAGCCATAAGAAGATATTCTGTTAAACAAAAGAATACTCGTTTCTTGGTCACTGCAAAATCAAGAAACAAAGCTGCAGTTAAATGCAAATTTGGCTACGAAGCCAATGAAACCAAGAAAGATCAAATCTATCAAACTTTTTCAAGTTTTTAGTTTAGTTAAGAGATTTGTTAGTTAAAGCATTAGTTAGCAATGTTCAAACCTTAATCTCCCTTTTCCTCGTCGTTTTCATCAATTCCCGAAAATCGCGTAAATGTTCTTCGATGGGGATCTCTCGATCCCCTTGAAAATGAGCAAATCCAAATCTTCGATCAAATCTTCCATCAAATCTTCCATTCCTTTTCATAATCGTCGCTTCTCCATCTGTCCAATTCGCATTCATTTCCTCGGGAATTGTCTCATTTTCTGTGTGAAATCTCACGGTCAATATCGGCCCACCGGACGTCCTCGGAATTGATGTCACCGAATTTGGTGGGAATTTCGGATCGACTTTCAACGTCAATGGGTACTTTTCTTTCTCAATTTTCGGCAGAGTTGTGTTGATTCGAACGAGTGCCGATTTTGAGGCATTTTCTATTGGGATAACACTTGTTGTTGTCATGTTCTCATTTTCTTCATCATCAATGTGATCGGCGGTGATCAGAATTGGCCTGTTAGTGGTTGTTGTTAGTGAAAAGCTTTTCGTGATAGCCTCTTTTCCTTCCCCGCCAACACCATTGCCCTTTTTAAGCTGAAAATTTTGATTATAAACAACTGGATCCATGAACTTTTCAACTTGCATTGGAACAAAATAATACTTCAGGATAGAGTTCAATTGATTCATTGGCAGGGCCGCGCGAACGCAGCAAAAATTTAGCTGTTAGCGAACCCCAACTCGGAGCTGCCACACAGGTCAACACAGTCAAAAGTGCAATGACCATGTCTCACCATGGGGGTCCCGTCTTGTTGATCACGAGAAACCCGCCAGCCAGGTAAGTTTATGAGCGGTTCGAGGGAGGGGGTTAAGCAAAAGACGTGCGCCAGATCGCGAGCGATTACGTGGGGGCAGAAAGAACACCCAGGTGGTCGGGCATGGTTTGTTGCCACGGGCAAAAAAGTTTAAATTCTTTTATTGGAGTTTAAGATACTCAAGCAATGGACAGAATATCTGAAGATTAGTTTGATTTTGGGTTTATTCAACTGGGAACGGCTCCTTTTCTCCCAGAGTTGAATTTTTGTCTCCATAAAGAAATCAAGTAATGTGTGACTAAAATTGGCGGGTTGATAATAAAAAAACATAAACAAAACCGTTGCACAGTGAAGTTAAAATGGATAAATTTGTGGGGCTGCTACAAATTAAATTGTTGACGCCCATTTGCGTTAGCGACCCAACCGGGCGCCACACAGGCAACACAGTCAAAAGGCAATGACCATGTCCACCATGGGGCCCGTCTGATGATCACGAGAAACCCCCAGCCAGGAAGTTATGGCGGACGGGGGGGGGTAGCAAAGAGTGCGCCAGATCGCGAACGATTACGTGCGGGCAGAAAGAACACCCAGGTGGTCTGGGGTGTCTCGTTGCCGCGGGCATTTCCTTTGGGAATTATTTATTGCTGCTTAAAGAATTGCTATTGATTTTGTTCATGAATCCATTGTTGTCCAGATTGTTAGTGATTCCAAGCCCCTTACCGTATCATCGGACGATTGTCCTCGTCCAATAGACAGTCCAAAATCGGCTTCAGCTTCTTCAACTTTGTCGCCACTTGCTGGCACTTGTACCTCACTTGAAGCAGAGCCCTTTCCTGTTGTTCCTGAAAAATTAGTAAAATCTTATTATTGTAAATCGGGCTGAAAAGTTTTCGACCAAAATTTATTTAAACCTGTCGGAAATGAGAGATGTGGCTGATCGAGAAATTCGGGTTCGGGTGTAGTGGAGGGATGAACGGGTTGCCCCTCTTTTTCCAACATCTCTTTCACTTGTTTCTCGTGTTTATCCAAATGATCGAAGATTGCCTAATTGATTTATTGTAAAGTATTTTTATTCTCCGTTACCGTATTTAAATCATTATAACTGGTTCGATTCGCCGATTCCTCTGCATCGACTCGGATTGGAGATGTGGTGACTGTGGTGGCTTCTGAAATGACAGATTGGTTTTGCGTCTAATACAAGGGAAAATGATTTAGTGCTCCAGTCTAATCAATTCTTTATCATACTTGAAACAAACCGTGTTCTTCTGGATTTGATTCAGATTTTTCAGTGGTTGCTGTGGCTGTTGATGCAGGTGTTGTGCTGATATCAGTCACTCTGAAATTGATCACAAGTTTGATTCATTATAGAAAAGCTTCTCAAGTATTGATTTGCCGGTTTCGTCCGTCTTTTTGGAATTTAATTTGAATTGTTTCTCTATTTTTGTCTTTTGACACAAAAATAGGTTTCTGTGACAGAAAGTGCTCAAATCAAAACTTTGATTTTCATCGTTTTTGACTGCTCGAGCCTAAGCCTAAGTCTAAACTGACTGAGATCCGGAAATTGGGGGCATAGCCCAAGCCCAAATAGACTTAGTGCTAGGCGCTAGCCGCTAGCCTTCGCACTAAGTCCAAGCCTAAACCTAAGCCTAAGCCTAAGCCTAAGCCTAAGCCTAAGCCCTTTAAAAAAAATGAACTAACAGAATTTGGTCCAATTGGTGTGAGGAATTTGGTCCAAATTTTACAAACTATCCCCCCTCCAATCCCCTCATTCCAAATGAACTAACAGACTTTCTTAAAGAGCAATTTGTAAATAAATAATAGGACTCTCTGATAAAAAACGATAAATCGATTGGTTCATTATTCATTTCAAAAGTAACCTTTAAAAAAAGCGGACAAAACTCTCCGGTCAATTTGATACAAACGTTAATTTGTAAATTGAAACACTGACGTGATAGTGATTGTCCCAGATGGTGTGAGAATGGATTTCTCTTTCTTTTCATCCTCCATCCCACCATTCGGTTTTTTCACCGTTGAGCGATATTCAGCCAATGGGGGAATCTCGAGACCACGCTAGAATTTGAATAAAATCAGATTAACATAGCAAATCATAGTTTTTTTTTAAATAGTTATTGTTTACACAATTTTTTTGGCAACTTTTGAACTACAGGTTGTTTAATATTTATGGAAACTAGTAGATTGCTAGGTTTAAAGCTAAAAAGGAAACCCATATATTGGAACAAGTTTAAGTCACTTTTTTTTACATAATTATTGCCTGTTGCGGTGTTGCTTGCCCAGAAATGGCTGTGGAATCACTAACCACTAACCACTAACCACCCGGCAAAACCGGTAAGACACGTCGGGCACTCAGAACGGCTTATAATGGCTCGAAGCAAAAATCGGATTTCATAGTTTTTTCCGGGATTTTTAGTGTTTTCAAGGTTTTTCTTTATTCAATCCTTTTAGAGGAGACTGAAACGTGTCGATTGGTATACAAATAGTCGTGGTTTTAGAAAATAACTTTCCGGGTACACCTTTAATGTCCTATAGATTCGAAAAATGTTAAATAGTGAAGACTTTCTCATCGTTAATCAAAAACAACTGGGATCTGGTTCCTTTTGGTCAAATTTGGCGATCGAGTTCCGATGAATCGATTTTGGAAAAAATCTTTTGCTGGTTTTTATAGGTCGAGAAATTCTTACCGTAGTCTAGACGAGTCTAGACAAGTCTAGACGACTCTAGACAAGTCTAGACGACTCTAGACAAGTCTAGGCGACTCTAGACAAGTCTAGACGACTCTAGACGACTCTAGACGAGTCTAGACGAGTCTAGAAAACTACGGTAGAGTTAATTCTGGTATATAAAGGTTCCGTCAAATTTAGTAAACTGTAAAAAATAATCTAGAAAGCCGAGTTTGTTCTAACGCCTATGCAATGCTTTCTTCACGATTCTTTTTTCATAAACCAATTTTGAGAGCGCTAAACGACTTGTGAGCTCAAAAGTTCCCATGTATTTGCAATTGTTTATGACCATTTCATGATATTTTTTGAAAATTTCCTACCTCACAATCATTCGCTCTTTTCCGCATCTCAAACGCGGCCGCTTTAATTCGATCGTATTCGGGAGAACTCGACAAGATCGATTCACATCTAAAACATTAGAGTTTGTTTTATTTTTTTTGATTTTTATAAACTTAGATTTATAAACTCGATCCTATTCATATTAATGACTTACTTTTGGATATTTATTAGCAATAAAACCTTTTATTAAACTTATTTCAGAAAGAAAATGTCACATAAATTCAAAAAAAAAATTATCTAAATCATGTTGTGGCGAATAGCCACTAAAAAGTTACCTAACTCTGATAGCCCAAAAATTGGAAAAGTATTGCGGAAATCCGCGCGCCTTCATTCTATTTCGCGCCCCAAATCATTTATTGTTTTGTAGCTTGTTAGCTGAATATCTTGTGTTAAAGCCTAACTAACGGGCTTTAGCACAGCTATTCAGCTATTCAGCTAAGCCTAGCGGCAACGTTCAAATAATATTCATTTGACGTTTCTTTTCTTCTTTTTACTTTTTTCTGCTTTCCTTTCATCGTGTGAAAGTTTTTTCCTAATTAGGACGAAATTCTTTCTGCTTTTATCGTCGCTTTTAATTCAATTGTCGATTTTGTTTGAAAATTGCTCAAGTGAGAGCCCCAAAGATTCCGAGTCAGTCGGCTATTGAATAAAGTGTCTTAGTTCAATCTCAAGTTTGAGATCAGATATCTCGAAACAAGAAATAACGTGTCATGAGTGAAGAGTTTTCCGGGATTTTTAGTGTTTTCAAGGTTTTTTCTTTATTCAATCCTTTTAGAGGAGACGCGTCGATTGGTATACAAATAGTCGTGATTTTAGAAAATAACTTTCCGGGCCGGAGTACACCTTTAATGTTCTATAGATTCAAAAAAAGCTCCAAGCACGCAAAGAATATTTCTTTACACATGTTTCTTTTGAAAATTTTGTTTTTTAAAACCGCTTTTTGCAAAGAAAATGTATTCTTTCTTATAATTGTTGGCGCAAAAATTAAAATTAAATTAATTTCTGTGAATTTTGAAGATATTAAATGTTTTCTAATGGATCAAGATTGCATTTACCTCTGAGCAACTACTAGTAACGTCTAGTAACAGATCTGAGTTATCATAGATAAATTTAGATAAGTTTTAGTACTAATGTGGATACATATGGATCATTGGAACAGCTGCGACAAAGATTTGTAAGCGCAACATCCCAACCAAAATCAGACATACCTCACTCTCACAAAAACACACCGCTTTCCGTGGGGATTTCCCCTTTTACCCTTAGCCTCCCCTTTCTGCAGTGAGATCAGTGCTATGGCCTGGAAACCTGGAATCTAGAAAAAACGCTGAAATCAAGTCAAGGTCAGTCTTTCTTGGAAAAATCGGAAAAATTCACGCCGATTTCTCTTTGACTGAGTCATTTGGGTTCAAATTGGCTTTATCTGATTGTGAGAAATAAACTTGATTGATTGAAAACGATTGATGGATTTTGAGAAGAGAGATTGGTCAAAAGAAGACTAGATTTCGGTTTTTGTTTGTACCTAGGAAAGGTTTAATCGTGTAAGAGTTTGTATTTCATTTGAATAGATATTTGTACGCATACGCATTATGGTATAAAATGCGAATAATCAGCGTCTGTTACAGTAAACTCCTGGTGATCGAGATTCAAAAGATTCGACGTTCAAGAGTTGCTCAAAATACATTCCATTTCTTGTTGAGATGGCTACTTTGGGTCAAATTTTTTCACTATAACTTCCTTCTAAATGGGTCAACCTTTATGATTTTGATGTCATTTTGTAGAGCTCAATAAGTGCAACAAAATGAAACAAAAAGCATAAAGATTGAGTCACTTAGAAGAAAGTTATGGCGTGCTGCGCAAATATAATGGCAGAAATTAGCCTACCCCCAATAATCTTTAAATAAACCTATAGACGGGATGGTAATTTAATGCTAAAATGCTTTAAAGTCTTTTTTTTAAAGTAGAAGTAGCCACTGTAAGCACCGGCTGTAAACCTACCCAATAACACTCGAGCAACATCGTTTCAATGGTCCACATTGTCTTGTCGTTCTTGCATCGATTCCCGAAAAACAATGCGTCGGTACATAGTCGATCGTGCGTCCACGAACGAATTTTGGTGTATTCTCGGCGATTCGTGAACAAGAAGCATTCTAGAGAACGCTTTGAACCGTTAATGAACTTTCAGTTGCTTAGTTGAATATCTTTATCTTTGTTTTTATTTTTAAATTTCAATTTCTTAATCACTTTTGCTGAAAAGTTGGATTTTTCCGTTTTTTAAATGAAAAAAAGCGTTCTTCTTTCTCAATTATCACTTTTTTGAATAAATGATTAGAAAAAAACTCTTTTCGTTGACTTTTTTAGAACTAGCATTCCCCAACTTGATCCCATTCTAAAAAGAGTCATCCAAAGCAAGAAAAACGATCTTAAAAATAACAAATTATCCGTTTAAAAAGTTTTCAAATATGCGCAAGATAACGTGCTTTTAAATACAGAAAGATATGTTTTAAAAGCTTCTCTCACAACAAAAAGTTCAGCAACGCTTGTTTATATTCGAACAACCTAATATTAAGCAATTTAACTAGCGGAAATGATTGGAAAAAAAAAACTCTTTTCGACTCTTTTCGACTCTTTTTAGAACTAGCATTCCCCAACTTGATCCCATTCTAAAAAGAGCCAGCCTTGATGAAATTTGAAAAGAATCTTGATCATTTGAAAACAATTTTGATCATTTGAAAGTCTCACCTCATTTTGTGTGCCGTTCTTTTCAAGCGTACACGAAGTAAACGCTGAGTCGAGTTCCACCTCCAGTAACTCCAGCTGAAATCGGAAATCACTTTTAAAAAAAAACTACAAAAATTTAAAGCTACCCGTTTATAGTCGGCTTTCAGCTTCTCGTGGCACTCGTGCGGATCATTTAGTTGGGGTAACCAAAAGGGTCTGTAAGGCATTGCAATACCGTAGTAATTCGAATAAAAGCAAATGTGCTTCAATTTTTCAATATCCCAAAATCGGCTGACCAGAAAGTTTTAGCTTTAGATCTCTCTATAGAGGGTCTAAAGTCAAGTTTTCGAAAGATTTCAAGGAATGTTGTTGTTGTTGCTGTTTTTGTTGTTGCTGTTTTTGTTGTTGCTTCTATTAGAATCAATCTATTAGAACCTTTTGTTGTTGCTTCTATTAGAATCAATCTATTAGAACCTTTTGTTGTTGCTTCTATTAGAATCAATACGCTACGTACGTCAATTCTTTTGGATACTTGTGCCGCGTATGCACGCCATTTTTGTTTAATATTTAATATGAGTTAAAGTATCGAAAATAAGAATTGCAAGTACCGTAAATTGTCTTGCTATAGTTTAATGTAGATTTTAAAGTCACCTCTTCCGTGAGTTCCCTAAACAGAGTCGTTCCTCCAACCGCGCCACCGCCACACATTCCGTGTACAGGCTACAGTACTCAGCCTAGTAATAGGTATATAATAGAATTTTAACAAATACACTACTATGCTAATTTATTGTCTCTTTTTAATTTGATTAGGTTTATAGCGGGTTTCTAAAGAGGGCAACGGAATTAGCCGAGAGGAACACTACAGTAGGCATGGGAAAATTCCAAACCCAAACCTAATTCCACCTTCGTTTTCTCAGCCGTCTCTTGGCCGATTGTTCTGAAATTTTGTCGACAAGCAGAGAATGTCAATTCCTATTTGTAAACAAAATTTCAGAGTAATCGGACAAGAGACGACTGAGAAAAGGAAGGTGAGATTAGGTTCGGCTTCGAATTTTTGCCCATGTCTACACTACCAGCAAGTAGGGCTTGTAAAATTTCGACAATATCTCAATATTTCGACAAGCTCACCTCAACTTGTATCACTCCAATGAAAAGCAGCAAAAATGGGCCCAACCTTGTGGGCATCCTTTTTTGTGGACTGTTTTTTTCAATGGACACCTGAAAATTTCCCTTTTTTTTCCACAAAAATTGCGACTTGTTTCATTTCGGTTTTTCGAGAGAAAAAAGAAAAAAGAAAAAAACGGGATGAGTAAATTAGCGGAATGAAAGGGAAATTCCCCTTGTAATTCTCTGTTTTATTTCGAGATTGGGCAAGAAAAAGTCTCCCCTGTTTTCTCCCGGAAAAAAGAACTCGAGAACTCGATTGGAAAAAAGAGAAATGGGTAACAGAAAGGAAAGAATATTGGAAATACGAGAATAAATAGTAATGCAAAAGTTGGATCTTTTCATTGTCACAGTTGAACAGAAAACAAAATCGACTTTGAATTAGAATTCTTATGAGTTAAACGAGTCTCAAGCTCAAGCTCAAACTCAACAAGTCTTTCAGAGTTCAGGAACAGCTATGGGTATTCCTAGTACTCGAGAACTCGATTGAAAAGGAGGGGAAAGAGGGGAAATGGGGGGAGCTTGTCAAAGTTGGATACTTTTTTCAAGTTAAACAATTCAAAAACAATTCGAAATTTACTAATTCACAGATTGAACTAGAGTCTAGAGCGCAAAATCGATTTAGAGTTCGAATTCTTGAGTTGAGTTAAACGAGTCTCAAGCTCAAGCTCAGAGCTCAACGAGTCTTTCAGAGTTTAGGAACAGCTATTGGTATTCCTAATACGCTAATAGCTATTGGTATTCTCGAATTCGAGTTAAACGAGTCTCAAGCTCAAACTCAACGAGTCTTTCAGAGTTCAGGAACAGATCTGAACAGATAGTTCAGGAACAGGTATTCCTAACACGAAAAAGGACAATATCGATTTCTAATAGCTTTAAAATGAAAAATGAACAACACTGAAAAAAAAGCAACAAGAGAAAAACTTTCATCTAAAGCTGATGGGCAAAAAAAAGGAAAATCGTTTTTTCATTTGACACGAGGTGAATGTGAAATTGCGAGAAACGCCCCAAAGAGAACGAAAGAACGAAACGAAGAAGAAAGACACCGAATTTTAACAATCTCAACACCTGAGGTTTACCATTAAGTTTGGGAAAAAATGGGGAGGGGATTCTTTCCGAGATTTTTCCAACCCTCCTCCCACAACTTTCACTTCAAAAACGGAAATCATTTTCAATAAGTTATTAAACAATCTCCATCCAAGTCAATGGAGGATCAGCTCTTTTCTGAAAAAGGTCGACATTGCTTTGTTGAGCCTCGAGCGGTTGAAAAAGAAACAATTTCAGTATTAGCAGAGTTTCGAACTAAATCAAAATGCTGTCTTATGTCTTATGAACTTTTTGACGATCTTGTAAAAACAAATTGGAGTCAGGAATCGAACCAGAAACGCAAAGCTTTGAAAACTCGCACTCTCCCCCGCTCCGCCATTCAGTCATTCATTCAAAAATCAAGTATTCTATTGGCTCAAAAACGATTTAGTGTAGAGCCGCTCAGTCCCATGTAGGGCAATGTGACACGCCATATCTTCGCATCTCAATCTAACCCAATACCTCGCCGGCTTCCAGAAAAAAACCTTTTGATTTCTAAAGGAAAGATGGACATAAATTCTCATAGACATCAAATGATTCTAAATGAAGAATTGTAGGGGTCATAGCTGAAAAGAGAAAGGAGAAAGGCTCTCGAGAAGGGGGAAAGGGGAATCTCCATCCAAGTCAATGGAGGATCAGCTCTTTTCAGAAAAAGGTCGACATTGCTTTGTTGAGCCTCGAGCGGTTGAAAAAGAAACAATTTCAGTATTAGCAGAGTTTCGAACTAAATCGACTCCTCTCGACCTCGAGGGTGAGTGAAAAGAGTACAGGGTTCTAAAAATTTCAAACAAATAAGCAATTGCTGAACATTGAAATACAATGCATTTTATTGAACTTGGCAAATTAATGGTTTTTAAGGTTAAAATCTAATTACTGGCTTGTTGATAAGATGCTGTTTTGAGCTTTCATTCTTTTAACAAAATCCTATTCTCAAATGAGTCACAGATAAAGCAGTTATCGTACCAAATACCAGCATTTTAACCTTAAGTTTCCAAGAAAAGAAAGCGTTTACAAAAACATAAAAAAGCTGAACTCAAAGTTATCAAGGAGCAGGCCCTAGGGTCCTCTAGGGTCCCTAGGGCCTGATCCTTGATAACTTTGAGTGATGAGTAAGATCAGACGCCAGGGGAAGGTTTGGCATCTGATTTGCTCTAGTAGATCGAATCTGAGCAGATCAAATGCCCAGCAAACCTAGAAACTTTGTGAGGCAGGCTAGAAGCCAAGCCAGGCCAGGTCACGCTTTGCTCAGAAAAAAACTACCTTTAAAACAACCGTAAAAGTGAGAGTCTTTCCATCGTCTTCAATATAAATCATTCATTCATTCAATCATTAAAAATCAGTTAGAAATCAGTTAGAAATCGATCACTCAATATTATTATAAATTTAGCGTTATTTTTCTGGCAAGCTATTCAACACTTTTGAATAAATCTTCATTTCTTTTCAGGTGTTTTCAAGGCCGATTCTTCATACAGCTGTAGTGCATAAGGTCCGTTTTCTCTGCAGATTGGTGTAATCGAAGGGCAAAGACCATAACGAAAGGGGATTAGCTGGGTGTTGTATAAAATGGTCGACCGACTCAAACTACATCGATTTTTGTACAATTTTTGTACAACTCTTTCAGAAGAGACTCAATTGAGAAAAAATACCGAAATTCTACAGTATCCATCACTTTTTTCAAGTAAAATTTCCCAAAATCAAATTTCAAAACGATAATCTTCCCCCAGAAAAAGTGAAAGTCGAAAAGAATTTGGTGGACTCGTTTTAATGAATAGCCGTTTTTTTGTGTGACTTTCTCTCAACAAAAAAAGATTCCCGAAAAAAAAGGGGAACACTAGACGAAAAAAGAGGAGGATTTTTCTCAATTTTTCTCAATCTCACAAAAAGCACAAAAACAAAAACTCATAAAAAAGTTGAGGGATAACCGGGGAAAACCTCGTAAACAAACCACAATAAGAGAAAAAAAAACGTTATCAGTGAACGAATTGAGCGAGACAAAAGGAAATATATCCAAATTGAAGGGAAAGGATATCGAATGGGAAGCTGAGATGAAAAGGTTCACTTTCGATTTTCGAATTCGAGTAGGGATTTGCTTTAGGTACAGTACTGGACAATGAAATATCATATTTGAAAAACGATCATCACTTTCGCGCGTCTGTAACTCCCTTGTCTTTGAGTTTAAACTATTAGTGTTATACATTTTCTGAAAGCTCTTTTCAAGCTCTGCACAATGGCAATATTAATATTTAGAAATACGGTAAAGACAAGGGAGTTACAGACGCGCGAAAGTGACGATCTTTTTTCAAATGTGATATTTCATTGTCCAGTAGTGTATGTTAGTATGTTAGGTAATCTCCTAGTGATCTGCTAAGAAACGGGTGAAGAAAACGATGATGAAATTGGGCTCAGTCTGGAATTTTCTATATCTAAATTATAGCAATTGACAGCAGTAACACTTTTAGCAGACTATTTAACTTCAATGAAAATCGAAGAAGATAGTTTTTCCTGTCAATATTGTAGTCCTGTAGGTACTGCAAGTGTCGTAAAGTATTGTACTTTATGTACATATGTCTATACATAGGTTGGCAATAATGAAACCTTTCATAGTACTTTAATTATTTCATAGTACTTCATTTATACAGTACTGGACAATGAAATATGATATTTGAAAAACGATCGTCACTTTCGCGCGTCTGTAACTCCCTTGTCTTTGAGTTTAAACTATTAGTGTTATACATTTTCTGAAAGCTCTTTTCAAGCTCTGCACAATGGCAATATTAATATTTAGAAATACGGTAAAGACAAGGGTGTTACAGACGCTCGAAAGTGACGATCGTTTTTCAAATATCATATTTCATTGTCCAGTAGTGTAATTCTTTATGGATTTTATGTTGAGTGCATTTTCAATTGTGTCTAAAGTATGGGTAATATCGATAAGCTACCGTAATCTTTCCATAATTTTATTATAATTCCATTCGCTTTACAGTTTGTCTCCTCATCGAGTGCGATCGTAATTAAGTAAATGCGAAGGAAAGATTTACGGTAGTTTAACAATTGTTCACTTTTTTAAAAAAACGCATTACTCTAAACACCAATTATAGTTATAACGATTCAAACTATGAGATCACATATAAAATAAAGATTTCACGAAAGGTTGTTGAGAAAAAAAATGCTCGAAGGGGGGAAAGTGTTGTCTTCCTTTTTCGGCTTTTTTTTGAGATCTCGTAGCGAAACGAGGCCATTCCCCTATTTTCCCCTTTCCAAAAATCTCCTCCCGCCTTTTCTGCACCCATTTTATCTCCAATCTGTATTTAGCATTCAAAATGGTTGAACTAGAATAGAAAAAAAACATTTCAATGACCAAGAAATGCATTTTGGAGGTTTTTGGATGAGTTGAGCGTCTGCAAAAAGAGAAATCTAGATCTAGATCTAGAAAGGAAAACTGGCAAAAAAAAAGCTATAATTTTGCATTTTTTAATGCAAATCGCCATCTAAACCATCTTATTCTTAACTTTTCAAGATTTGAAGAGTTCAATCTCGATTTAGAAACATTTTGGCACAATTTGAAGCTCCGACGCCACAGTCTCCACTATTATGATCGATCTCGAGAAAAGTGCCTTTGCCGCAAATTGCCTTACAATGTTGTATTTGTTAAACCTAATTATCTTTTGAAACCCCAAAAATTCTTTATTAAGTATATACCAAGGCAAAATGTAAATAAACCTAGATAAGTGAATGCTATAAAACACATCGAAAATGCAGTAACCTCCAATGTAAATCAAAAAAGAAATAATAAATGCAAAAGGTAAAATCTAGCTCATGGTATCTAGAGGTTAGCGACTAATTTGTACTCGGAGAAAACAAGTTAAAGAGGAGTTAGTTAGCTTCAAAACTTCTATAGAAAAAAAATGAATTCACTATGCAAGGACTATGTGAGA